AATAGAAAAATGGGCACAGGATATGAACAGACACTTCACCAAAGAAGACATTCAGATGGCCAACAAGCACATGAAGAAATGTTCAAAATCCCTAGCTCTGAGAGAAATGCAAATCAAGACAACTATGAGATATCATCTCACCCCACTAAGACTAGCAAAATTTAACAGAACAGCAAACAACAAATGCTGGCGAGGTTGTGGAGAGACTGGAACCCTTATTCATTGTTCGTGGGAGTGTAAAATGGTGCAACCACTGTGGAAAGCGGTGCGGCGCTTTCTCAAAACCTCATATTTTTTAACAAATGGAAGCATGCCTTGGATAAAGCTCTAGAAATACATGTTTTGGTCCTTTTCTCTTACCATACTGAAATAATAAATAAAATTCAAAATGAACCACATGCACACATGTGAGAGCTGAAATCACAAGAAGCAAACAAAGTCAATAAACCTTAATGATCCTGCTAGGAAATGGTCTCTTGGAAAAGAAACCAAAAACATAAGTAACCAAAGAATAAATAAATACACTGGACTTCATAAAATTTATTTTTCCCCCCCGAGGACATCAGGAAAATGAAAGACAATCCAGTAAAAGAGAGAAGATACTTACAATTCATATTTCTAATAATAAACTTCTATCTGGTACTGCTGCTAAGTGTCACCTAGTCGACTACTACTCATACCTCCCCTATGAATAACATCTAAATCTGAGCCATCCTCATGATCTCTGCCATGCTTGAGCCCATTCTATTAATCCACCTTCCTCCATTTCTCTGATCATTTACCTTTCCCAGTATAAAGATTCCTAGACCATTATCTAGGTTATATAAAAAGAATTTCTAATTCAAGAACAGGTAAAAATATTCAATATTATTTGTCAACCAGAGAAATGCCAATCAAAACTGCAATGAGATGCTAATTCATACCCATTAGGATGGGCTATAAGATAGATGCAGCTGATTCTTGTTATTTTTGGTAGATATGGTCTATAAACTCACTACGAATACCAAACTGGGAAATACTGTAAAGGTAATAGTTAAAATTCCTGCAATCACATTTTAAAAGATGGACTTTGAAAGATAAGCAGATAAGCATGCTAGATGAGCACTCTGAAACAGAAATGTTTTTAGGCTTTACTATCCATTATTAATAAAGAAATAAAATATTCCATTTTAAAAATCACAAAATCCAAAGAGAAGTTATATTACCTTCATATCAGTTTCTCTTGGAATGTGATCCTTAAAATCTTCAATTGAACTTACAAGGAAAGGAATGTGGTAGGATAAAACCTAGACAGGACAAGAAAACTTGGAATTACTTTTAAATAGTGATTTTAAAAAATTAATAAAATATTACCATTTAAGAAATTCTATTTTTCATAAAATTACTTTACTTTCCCTATTTTTAAATTTTCATGTTATTTTCTAAAGTACTGAGATACTTGCAACAGCATGTATTTAGTACCAAATTAAGAAAAATAAAAAGTGAAAAAATTCTTTAATGACTGTTGTGGTTGTTTTGTGTGTCAAGTCAGGACCCTTCAGCAGGTTCTTCAGAGGATATTTTTCATGAGGGAAGAGAACGTCCTCCTTTCACCTATGGAGCAGCTGGGTGGATCTGAATGGCAAAAGCAGTTCCTCACTTACTACTAGGCCACCAGGGCTTACAAGTAAAGTTAAAAAAGAAGAAACTATCCAGGTGAGTTAAATTTCCTGACATTTCAAACCCAAAGAGTTCCATTAACTTGAATTTCTACACATTGTATTTTGTGTACCTAGGAGTCCTCGTGATTCAGTGATTAACCAAAAGGGATGCAGTTCAAACCCACTAGCCACTCTGAAGGACAAAGACATGGCAGTGCTTCTGTAAAGAGTTACAGCCTATAGGACAGATTTACTTCATACTATTGAGTTACTAGGAATTAAAAATGACTTGAAGGCTATGAGATTATTCTTTCTTTGGAGGGGTAGTTTGAGGAAAACTTTAATTTTAATTATGCTATCCTAAGGGTAAAAGAAATTGTTTTTTAACTCCTCCAGCTTAAGAAACGCCGAGTGTGTTTGGCACTTTTGATTTTCTAACTCCAGCTCTTTGCACATTTCATTATATCTTGTTTTGTCATCCCAGGCTGCCTTTTGAAATTTTCTGTATAGCTCTTTAAATTCTTGATTTCTTCCTTTAGCTTTGGCTTCTTGGCACTCTAATGCAATATTCAGAGTCTCATCTGACATCTATTTGGTCTTTTATTCCACTTCAGCCTTTGTAATCTTTTGCATTCTTCATGAATGATATTTTTGTTATCCTCCCACAGCTCATTTGGTCTACACTCATTGGTGCTCAAGACATGAAACCTGTTCCTGAGATGTTCTTGAAATTTGAGTGGGATAGACTTAAGGTCAAATTTTGGTTCCTGTGGATTTAATTTTCTTCAACTTGAACTTAAACTTGCATATGAGTAGTTGGTGGTCTGTCCTACAATCAGCACCTCGCCTGGTTTTCACAGCTGATATTGAGCTCCTCCAGTGATTCTTCCCAAAAATGTATTATTTGATTCCTATGAAAACCATCAGGTGAAATCCATGTGTATAGCCTGCATTTGTGTTTCTTTTAAAAGGTGTTTGCAATGAATAAATCATTGAATATGCACAATTCTATCTCCAGCTTCATTTCTGTCACCGAGTCCATGTTTTCCAGCTACTGATCCTTCTTCCCTGTTGCCAACTTCTGCATTCAAGTCGCCCATTATTATCAATGCATCTTGAATGCATGTTTGATCGATTGATCTCTGACTGCAAAAGTTGGCAGAAATCTTCCATTTCCTCTTCTTTGGCTCTAGTTATCAATGAATGTATTTGAATGATAGTGGTATTCACTGTACTTCCTTGTACGCGTATAGATATTATCCTGTCTCTCACCACAATGTATTTCATCTGGGGTGCTGGGCTGTACGAGGAGGAATGTGGCATCAGGATTGGTGGAAGACTCATCAACAACCTGCATTATGCAGATGACACAACCCTGCTTGTTGAAACTGAGGAGGACCTGAAGCACTTGTTGAAGAAGGTCAAGGACTGCAGTCTTCAATAGAGATTGAAGCTCAACAACAAGAAAACAAAGATTCTCACCACTGGGCCAATTAGCAGCATCAGTATGGATGGTGAAGAGATTGAGATAGTTAACAGTTTTACTTTGCTTGGCTCCACAGTCAACATTCTTGGTACTGCTGTTGTTGTTGTTGTTAGGTGCCGTCGCGTCGTGGACGACTCATAGCGACCCTATGAACGAAAGGCCTGAGCACTGTTCATACATAGGGTTTCTGGAGGCAAGCCATTTTGGAAGTGGATGCTGCTCCTGCTTCCAGGCTTCACTTCATTCTTGGTACTAGCAGCCAGGAAATCAAGATATGAATTGCGTTGGGAAAGTCAGCTGTCAAGGACCTCTTCAGAGTACCGAAGGGCAATGACACCAGGCTGGAGACTAAGGTGCACCTGACCTGAGCTATAGTCTTTACAATTGTGTGCTATGCATTGGAGAGCTGGACAGTGACTAGGGATGATGGAAAGAGAATTGATGCCTGGAGGAGAGTGTGGAACTGCTAGAAGAACAAACAAGTTTGTCCTGGAGAGGGTGAGGGTAAAGCCAGGCTTCTCCTTGGAGTCAAGGATTCTGAAGCTTTGTCTGACATACTTTGGGCATGTTGCAAAGAGAGACCAGTCCTTGGAGAGGGACATCATGTTTGGGAGAGTGGAGGCACAACACAGGAGAGGAAGACCCTCGATGAGATGGATTGATTCAGTGATCGGGGTAGTGGGAGTAGGTGTGTCAGAGACAATGAGGTTGGCACAGGATAGAGCAGGGTTTAGGGCTCTTGTATATAGGGTCGCTATGAGTCACAAGCAACTCGACAGCACATAACAACAACAACAAGGGTAAAAGAATAACATTTTCATTTCTAGGAAATAAAAAGGAATTATTCAGATACAGGAAATAGATTTATAAAATTTTCTTACATCTCTCAGTGCTTCTTGTGCCAATGATCGGAAGGATAAAATTACACCAATTATTGTCATCCTCTTCAAGACACTGTCAACAGCTAAAAATGAGAGAAGGAGAGAAGAAACAAAAATGAAAAAAAAAATTTTTATTCTTTCTTAATCATGGAGATAACTTTAGTAGGCTAAAAATTTACTCTTGACAAAGGAACTAATAGTGGCAATTTGATTACAAAGCATGACTAAAGGGGGTTTATTCCTCCTGTGTAATTTATAGCTTCTTAAAAGCCAATGAAGGTGAGCTATGAGTTACAGCCAACTCTAAGGCAATGATAATAGGTGAGGGTGTAGCTATCATACACAGCATGAAGTAGCTATGCGTCATCATTGAATCAACCGCAAAGTGTCTTATTTTTTACATTTATTTAAACCATGTTATCTTTGAAGTAAGATAAAATAGTTTACTTTAAATGGAATAAAACCTTTTAAATGGATTAGACAGGTGTCCAGACTTTTGAAATCATCATCTTAAAAGCAGTCCCTTGAATAATCCTATTTCAGAAAGAGAAGGTAGCATGGAGAATATAGACTGAAAGAGAAAGCAGCAGCTGGTCAGAGTGAACATGAGCTAAATCTTCAAATGGCCATGTAAGTGGGAGATGCTAATTTCTGAAGTTCTATGGCAACAAACAGCACAAAATGACTATTAATACCATAGCTAGTTTTAGCAATACCAGGCTGCTGAAAACAATAAATGGATTTGCCTTATCTATATTTTGATATAAAGTATTATTCTGAAAATTATTATATGTGAAAATTTATTTTTAAAAATCAAGGGAGATTATGATTGCAGGGTGAATGAATGCCTTTGTATTTTACAGTGCAAACACTTGAAAATACTTCATATGTCAAGAATTGTACTATGAAAAAAAATAAAGTTAACAGAACAGTGGCAAGATGTCAGTAACAATCTGAGCTGACAAACTAAGAAAATAGTACCATTACGTGAGAAAACTTTAAGTAAATATATTTTGTATGTGTTAGGTTGAGAGAGACAATGAAAAGATGGCAACAAAGGAGAAACAGGATGAAATCTAAGCAGCAAATAAATCAGAAAACGCCAACAAGTGACCTATCAGGCAAGAACCAATTAAGTTCAGCCAGAAGCCTGTTCCAGCTAAGAGCTTAAGTATTCTAATGAACTCAGGGAGGTACTAGGTACTAAGGCTATAAAACTAGGAAACAAATAAAAAGGTTGGGCTGCCAAAAGAACAAACAGGTATGTCTTGGAGAAAGAGCAGCCAGAGTGCTCTTCAGAGGCAAGGCTAGCAAGTTTCTCTCACATACTTGGGGCATGTTTTAAGAAGTGGATAGTCTTTGGAAAGAGACATCATACTCAGAAAGATGGAAGGTCAGCTAAAGAGAGGAAGACCTTCAACAAGATAAGACACAGTGACTGTAGCAATGGGTTTAAGTATGTTAGAGATGATGAGGATGGCACAGGATAGTACATGGTTCAGATCTTTTGTTCTTAGGATTGCTATGAGTTGCACTTGAAGGAACTTAAAAACAACAATAATACGAATTTTCATCCACCACTAGAAGACACCCACTTTCGTATCTTGATGGTATAAATCTTTCTTTCTTAATAAAATTTATTTTGTGTATCTCTCTTACTTAGTAAAGTCCACTCTGCCTTTAACTATTCCTCTGCCTATGCTGCATGTTTTTTATTCACCTTCAGGATCAGCTCTATCTAGACTACATCCAGCTAATGAACAAAGCACAGGAAAAACTCTGGATTTTGTTATTGTTGTTAGGTGCAGTGGAGTATAAGTCATAGAAACCGTATGAACAAAAGGATCTGAACCCTATTCTATCCTGTGCAATCCTCACACTTCCAAACATGCAAGAGCCCAGTGCAGCAGTCACTGTGTCAATCCATCTGGTTGATGGTCTTCCTGTCCTTCACTGACCCTCTACCCTTCCAAGCATCAAAACCCTCTCCAAGGAATAGCCCCATCCTAGGAATAAGCCCAAAATATGTAAGGCAAAGCCTCATCATTCTTTCTTCCTAAGGGTTCTCTGGCTGCACCCTCTCCAAGACATGTATGCTTGTTTTCTTGGCTGCCCATGGGATGGATGTTCAGTGCTTTTCTCCAACATAATACAGAGGCATCAATTCTTTTTCTGTCATCCTTATTAATTGCTCTCAGATGCATAACAAGTGATCAGAAAGACTATGGCCTGAATCAGACATACCTTTGTCATCAAACTGACATCATTACTCCTCAATAATTTGGAAAGGTCCCTAACTGCAAATTTTCCCAGTGCAATATGTCTCCTTATTTTCTGACTGCTGACTGGTACCAAGGGTATTATTCGTGGATCCAAGCAAGATGAAGCTGCTGACAGTTTCAATCTCCTCTCCATCTATCATGATGCTGTCTAATGGTCCAGTAAGAACTTTTGTTTTCTTGATATCAAGATGAAATCCATACCAAAGGCTGCATTCCCTGATTTTCTGCAGCAAGTGTTTCAAGTCCTCTTCACTTTAGGCAAGCAAGGTTGTATCATCAACATGACACACGTTATTGATGAGTCTCCCTCCAATCCTGATGCCACACACTTGGTAGATATCAGCTTCTCTGATAATTTGCTCAGCAAATTGCATACAGACTGAATAGGTATAGAGACAGAAAATTGCCCTCACACACTCCCTTCTCAATTTTAAACCATACAGTGTTCTGTTCTGTCCACACAACAGCCTCCTGATCCAGGTATAGGTTCTGTATGAGCACAATTAAGTGCTCTGGGATTCCCATTCTTCTGTCAGCTACAATTTGTTATGGTACACAGAGTCAAATGACTTTGTATAGTCAATAAAGCATAAAGAGACATTCTTTTGGTATTCCTTACTTTCAGCCAGGATCCATCTGACATGAACAATGATATCTCTGGTGCATGGCCTCTTCTAAATTCTGCTTGAACTTCTGGCAGTTTCATAACTATGTACTGTTCTAACCATTTTTTAATGATCTTCATCAGTATTTTGCTTGTATGTGATACTAATTATACTGCTCAACAGTTTCTACATTCAGCTGGATCATCTTTTATGGGAAGAGGAACAGATATGGACCTTTTCCAATCCACTGATGAGACAGCTGTCCTCCAAATTTCCTGGGATACACTGGTAAACACATCCTGGGCTGCATCTGTTAATTTAAACAAGTCTATTGGTATCCCATCCATTCCTGGGACCTCATATTTTGCCAATGTCTTGAATGTACCTTCTACTTCCTCTTTCATTCCTACTGGCTCCTGTTCTTATGGTACTTCTTTAAATTTTCAGTGTCAATCAATTCTTTCTGGTAGAATGATTCTGTGTATTCCCTCCACCTTCTTTTGATGCTTTCTGGGCCATTCAATATATTGCCCATAGCATCTTTCAATACTGACTGAACAAGAGGTTTAAATTTGTTTTTCAGTTCTCTCAGTTTGAAAAATGCAGAGTGAATTCCTCCCTTTTTATTCTCCAATTCCAGTTTTCTGCATATTCCATTACTATACTTTGCTTTTTTCCTCCCAACCTGCCCTTTGAAACCATCTGTTCAGCTCTTTTATTTCAAAATGTTTTCCTTTTGTTTTGGCTTCTTAATGCTCCAGTGCAATCTTTAGAGTCTCTTCTGACATTGATTTCAATTTTCTTCTTTCTCCCCTGTTTTTCTAATGACCTTTTGCTTTCTTCATGGGTATTATCTGGTCTTCTTCAGTCACTGGTCTTTAAAAAATGGTTGAGCTCTGCTTGATAGTGAGTCTCCAGTTTGGAGCAGTTGGATTCTGCAGGCTAAGTTGCTTTTGATTTGATTTACTTAAAAAGCTGGGTATAAACTGGGCATTTTTTCATTTTGTTAACAATCAAGTGTAAGCTGACAGGCTTTAATTTTAATTTTTTAAACTTCTTTAACAATCTGTTGTGATGTTGGAGAAGAGCACTGAAATATCATGTACTGCAAGAATAAAAAGGTCTGCCCTAGAGAAGGTGAAATCAAGCTGCTTCTTGGAAGCAAGGATTCGGAAACTCTATCTCATATACTTTAGGCATGTTTCCAGGAGGGACCAGTCCTTGGAGAAGGATATGATGGTTGGAAGGGTGGAGGAACAGCACAGCAGAGAAAGATGAGATGGACTGACATAGTCTCTGGGGTAATGAAGGTGGTTATGTCAGAGACAGCGATTAGCTCAGGACAGAGCAGCATTTAGAGGTATTGTACATCAGGTCACTATGAATCACAGCCCACTTGAAGGCATATACCAACACAGTAATTACTGTTGTAACACAAAATGTGTATGAATAGTTGAATGAAAAACCAATCTGTTTTGTAATATTTCATTCAAATTACAATAAAAAAAGAAAAAAGAAGTTAAAACCAAAAAAACTTCAAGTGCATGTTTTCCAAAGGATGTCACCTAGAACTGAATCAAAATAACTTGCAGACAGCCTTCCTCTTAAGTATTGTATAGTGTTGCTGTGTACTGGCAAGTCAGAGCTTACCCACAGCTGACAAATGTCAAAAATTGTGAAAAATTTTACTCTAAGAAACTTTCCAAGTATGATATCGTACTCAAAGGACTGGCCCCTCCTTGCAACATGCCCAAAGTATGTGAGACAGAGTTTCACCATTCCTTGCCTCCAAAGGAACACCCTGGTTTCACCTTCTACAGAACAGACCTGTTTGTTCTCTTGGTAGTCCATGGGATATTCAGTACTCTTCTCTCCAACAGCATAACTCAAAGGCACCGAATAAATATTTAAGATTATTCTTTCATAACATATTTCCTACAAAAAAGTCCATGCCAAGAAAATATTTTAAAGTGGTTGACTCAGATATACCTTGCAATGGAATGCCAGTTAGCCCCAATAAAATATTAACAAAGACTGATTCATTTAACAGTAAGGAAAATTTGAACTCTTTGCTGTCAAAGCAGGACTGACTCACTACTGACCCTATAGCAGGTTACTGAGGCTGTAAACAGCACAATAAGAGACTGTCCATTTTTCTCCTGTTTAGTTGCTGGTGAATTTGAATTGCCAGAGGTCAGCAGTACAATTCACCATGGACTAAATCACCAGGGCTTTCTAAGGAAAAGAAATCTATTTCAAAAGTATATACTGTTGAATTTCATTTGTATAAAGTTCTGTTGTTATTGCTTTATGTATCGTTGAGTCGACAATGACTCACAGTAGCCTTATGAACAACAGCTCGGAACTTTGCCCTCTCCTGAGCCTACCTCACCAACTCTAAAACATGTGACACCATAGCCAAAGTCACTGTGTCAGTTCATCTTATCCAGGGTCTTCCTCCACTGCACTGACTCTACTCTTTCAAGCATGATGTCCTTCTCCAAGAACTGGTTCCTCCTGGCACAGTGCCTAAAGTATATGAGACAGAGTTTCAAACTCCTTGCTTCCAAAGAGGTTTCTAGAAGAGGCTTAATAAATATGTTGAGATAAAAATGAGATCAGTAGTTACTTGGGTTTGAGCTTAATTGTTGGGAGATTAACTACAAAGTGATATAAGTAAATTTTCTGGGGTAGTGAAATTGTCGTGTATGTTGACTGGTTACACTGATACAAACAAACATGTCAAAGTATATTACAATGTTCACTTAATTTTTTTAAATTTATTGTACATTATACCTTAATAAATTTGATTTTTAGGAAGATACAGATTTGTAAGTTATTAAATATTATTCTTTAGATTAAACTGATATAATTACTACATAGAAGTTAATGGGTTCTAGAATTCATTGACAAGAAGATGCATTAAATTGGATGTCTAAATATGGCAAAACAATTGTGAAATAAATCATACATTTAAAAAATCTTCTGGCTAAAAAATACTTTGCAATTTTCTTCATACAGGTAAAATATAATTTTCATATTTTTCTACTTACGCTTATGTTTACTTTTTAGACCAAAAGCTAACTACTCAATGCAAGGTCTTCTACATATTTACAAAAATTATCATGAGTTACCTACATGATAATCTTTTAAAGAGTGCAGCCATTTGGTCTGGTTTGTCAAAGCTGGTCCTCATTTGTGTTAATACATCAACATTCTCCACCACGAGTTTCTGAAAAGCAAACAAACAAACAAACAAAAAAACATAAAGGGAAGATCCTAAGTACACACGGCCACGTGCTAATGCTATAAGGACAACATGCTTGACAATTTGGCAAACAGGAAAAACAGTTCATGAAATCCAGATGCTCTCTATTATTTAAAAAACAAAACTTAAAATTATTCATAGACTGTGCTTTTCCTCAGTTTTTTAATAAGAGGTGTTTAAGAAGTATTGAGAAAATATTATCTTATGCTTAGACACAGAAAAGCATTAATAATTTAAAAGTATACACTCCATTGCATATGAACAGTAATAAATGTCAATTAAAAAAAAAACAAAACAAAACTCAACAGCTTCCTAAAGTTCAAAATCATATTTCACTGAGACAAACGTGTCATTGAATGTAAAAATACCTTCATTTTATGGACCACTAACAACAGCAAAAAAAAGCTGTCAATTAAATTGTGACACAATTTTCTCTAATCATTTAACTATAAGACATACATATATATTTTTTTTTTTGAAAACAAATCTATAGAATAAAAGTGAATCAAGATCTGTAACTATGGTACATATTAATAGTAAATGTAGTCATTTTTAATGCTTTAGTACTAGGTAACTTATAATCACAACTAATCCAAATAAGAGAATTGATAGTTTCATTTTTCAGCTAAAAAAAACTAAGGCTCACAACAATTAGAAAACTTGTTTCAATTTAAAGAGATATTGAAAAGTTTAATTTGGAATTTGAATTCCGGTATATCTGATTTTTAAAATTTATATATTATTTTGTGTGTGTGTGTGTGTGTGTGTGTGTGTACCGTCAAATCGGATCTGACTGGTACAGGAGGAGCTTGTCCCTCCTTTCCCGGCAGAGCATCTGGTGGATTTGAACCGTGTGCCTCTGGGATTGCAGTGCAGCTTCTTACCACTAGGCCACCAGTGCTCCCCTTAAAATTTATATTTTTACTGCATTGAAGTCTATGAGGGAGAGAATAGTTTAAAAGTATTATATTTTAGGGCATTATGTTTATTATAAGAGTACAGAATGAGGGTTGCAGAGTGGATTATATTTGGGGTGGGG